GAAGCCTTACTGCGCCCGCTGCGGGTGCTGGTGCCCTCGCAAGCCGCTGGGTGGAGGCAGCCCAGCTGCGGGACCCAGAGGGGTTAGGAACTGGCTAAGTCGCCTCATCTGGGGTGGGGGTCCTCGTGGCACCCAGCCGGCCCCCAGGCCAGGCCCCAGGAACGTGGCTGGTGGGGCACGTGGGTGTCCTGCGTGGTGAGGTGGACCCGGCGTGGACGCTCTCGGAGCGCTTCCTCGTGACGGGCGTCCGGCGGGGACAGCTGTGGCCGGTCCGTCTGCCATGGGGACAGTGGGAATTCGGGGAGGCCCAGATGTCGCAACAGGGGAAGTCAATGTCTGGTTCTCATAAATCAGGAGGATGAGCTCCACTCCCCCGCCCTCCCGCCATCCTGGTAGCAGAATTCGCCCCGGGTCACAGGGCAGAAAGATCTCATGCGCACAGTCCTTACTTCCCAACCTTCTCCATCGTGGGGACTCTGACGCCACCAGAGAGGTGTCAGAGGTCATGTGAGGTGAAGGGGCCCAAGCCCTGGCTTCCTCACCCTGTTCCACTCCAGAACTCGGGTAGGGATGAATCAGGTTACTGGCCTTTCCAGGCTTTAGTGTTCTGACCCTGGCTAGCGGCCTCCCTGGGACTTCCTAGGAGAGGTGCAGGGGCTCCAGATGGCCCCAGAAGGGTTGGAGAGGAGAGGGAGGGTATCGGCCTGAGCAGAGGCGTGGAGTGGCCTCTCTGACAGAAGCCCTGTGCGTGCTCCTGGGTAGAGTCCCAGCACCTTCTCTCCTCCTGATCCTCCCTTCTCTCTGCCTCAGGCCCTCAGTGCCCACAGGCAGGTCAGCTTCGCCCTGCCCCCAACTCTGGCAGTTCCCTGCTAGCCGGAGTACTCCATCTGTTGCCCTCCCGGACCCATAGTGACCTCTGACCTTCAGAGAGAGCCCTTTAGTCGTCCCAAAGCCGGTTCACATCTCTGATTTCCCAGGAAGCAGAACAGACAGCGCTTTTACACAAGGGGTGGGCCTAGACCAGAGGTGGGCGGGAGAAGGTGGTAGGGCTGCAGGAGTGTGATCCCTCACCAGCTGCCAGCCAGCTCTGGTGCTGCCCCCAACAGGGCCACTGAAGCAAAGCAGGCCCATCTGAGGACTAGGTACCTGACCCATACCAGCTGCTTCCTCCACAGGGCCTGGCCCGCAAGCACTTAATGCAGGCACAGGCTATGGTCCAGCCATCAGTCGGAGCCGCACACGGCCCTGGAGGCCTGACACCAGGGGACCTATGAACGAGGTCGGGAAGGGTGGGGTGGGATGAGGGCTTGACACCCGCAGTGTGGGAGAGGGAGGCTCCACACCTGGGTGGCCTGGCTGTGGACTAACCTGAGTGGGCTGAGCTCTGCTGGTGAGCTGTCAGTGGTGAGAGAGTCCTTGGATGTGACGCTCTGGGTGGGAAAATAGCGCTGATCCCCTGGGAGGAGGAAGTGTGGAGGAGCAAGCTGCATAGTAACTCCGACTGAACCTCAAGGAGGAACTGATGGGAGATGTGGAAGTGCTGGGGGGTGGGGGAATGGGGGCGTGGCTGGCCAAGAGTAGCTGTCATGGGGGAACAGGAATGAGGGTCAGGGAGCACCGGAAGCTCTGGGGCCTTGCAGGAAGTTCTGATGGAGCAGATGATGAAAGGCACTGGGGTGGGGCTCCAAAGAGGGGCCTCTGAGGCACGAGCTCTGGACCACTGAAGACTGAAACTGAGACAGAGACAACACAGGAGACTCTGGCTTGCTGGGTTGTAAGGTAGGAACTGATTTTAAAGCCAGCCACATGGGCCACCTGGACAGAGAGTTGACGCCAACCACTCCAGACCAAGAGGACACACTTCTCTATCTGGGTCTGAGGGGACCTGTGTGGGGCTGGGCTGGGCATGTGACTCAAGGTAATCTCCATGCAAGGCTGGCACTCAGGAGGCTTGGTGGACTTGGGGCCTTGCAGAGCCTGGTGAGCAGGGGCCCAAGGGAAAGGGGCCTGCTCCAGACATGGGTCTGGGCACCCTAAAAGGGAAGCAGTGATTTCCCCAGGAGCTGACATGGATCTACTAGGGACGTCATACACCCAACCACGGCTGAGTCAGTGGATTTCCCTTTTGGATGGGGTTGCTTGCCTGCTCAGGAACTTAAACACTGTAGGTCTGGGTTTCAGCAAAGCTCACTTCCTCCTCTCAGAGCTCATGGCTCTTGTCCCGCCCAGGGTTTCACATCCAGGACTCTCTGGCCACTGACAGCTCTGGACCCACTCAGGAAATTCCTGGGGACAGGAAGAAAGGGAGAGCTGTCCTTTGTGCCAGGAATGTGCCCTGCATTAACACTCCAGCTGAGAGTTCCAGTCCCGGCTCCCAGGAATGGTGCTACAGGCGGCCATCAGCTACCAAATTCCCCCAGGGTCCCAGAGCTTCAGAGTCACAGAGCATGACACACCAGTGTGGTTGCAACCATGGTTTATTCTGAGTGTGCAAAGCCGAACATGCAAGCATAAATCTAACGCAGGAGGTTCTGCCAGGGACCCCAAGAGGTGGCCATGCCATGATGGCCCACAGCCAGTTCTGCTTGGCCAAGAAGCACTAGGCCCTCAGACCCATCCTGGGGTCTGAAGAGTCTGAGACATGGGGGGCTTATTGGAGACCCTTCCTCATCTATAAACTAGGATATATTGCTAAAGAAGAATGCAGAAATCATGTATAACTGGGGAGGGGGGATAACCAGAACTGTCCTACCTCTGGGGCTCCCCTTCTTAGGGTAAGGTGGGGATGGTGAGCAGACCAGGTCTTGTTGAATCTCATATCCTCTGATGATAAAGGCAGGCCTAGGGGGACTCAGAGCCTGAGTGTCTGGAAGGAAGGCCTCCTGTGAGCAGTGGTGGGGCCCAGAGCCCAGGTGCAGACAGGCGCAGGGAATCCAGACTGTACTAACCATGGTCAGAATCAGTGGTAACTCATGCTTGGCCACCAGGGCTGGTGGTCAGGCCATGGGCAGAGCCCAGGCTGTCACCCGCCTGAGGGGACCCTTGGCCCAGGCTGGCTGGGCACTGGGGGCTATCTGAACCTGGGGAGCCTGATGTGGCTGAGACTTTTTTCAAGGGGGTCCCTAGGAACTCTGGCAGCTGCAGGGCAGAGGACATGGACAGATCTGTGGGGAATCTCCAGGGAAGCCTAGGTCATTAGAAGCAGCAGAGCAGGCAGAGGGGGCGGAATGCAGCCATCACTGTTGTAAGGGAAGCCCCGGGATGTCACTGCCACAGGTCACCAGCTGCCATCCCGTTGTCATTCTCGTGGAACTTGTGCAAGTGGTCGGCGAATCTGGGGGGCATAGAAACCGTGGCTGAGGCCGAGGGTAAAGAGGAGGGAAAGCGTGTGTGGGGTGGGGTACATGCGATGTAGTTGGGGCTGGGGTGTGGCGGGGGCTGGCCTGCTGGGGGCTGTGGTGGAGGGCTGGAGGAGGAGGGGACCTCATGGAGGAGCTTGGGGTGCTGCGGGCGGGGCTGAGGTGGCCCAGGAGGTGTCCTTACTTCTTGGCGCAGAAGGCGGTGCAGTCCCTCTCCATGCTCTCGCTCCAAGCCAGCTTGTAGAGTACCTGGTCGGGCAGGGACATGTGAGCTACCCGGCCTCACGGGTGCTCCTGCAGCCCATCTGCAGTCCCTGGGCTGGCTTCCTGGGACCCAGGGCCCAGGACAGGTAGGCTGTAGAGGCACTCTGTGCCCACTTGCTCCACAGATGGTCAGACAGGCCAGGCACAGAGGTATCATCTCTAACAACATGGATGTACCCCAGTGGGCCAGGATCCACAGGCCCTGGGGTCAGAGCTGGAGCCCACGCTAGCCCTGGAGGAGCCATCTTGACTGTGACCTGGCTGTGGGCAGGGTTCCTGAGGCTGAAGTCTCCCCCTTTCTCCTCATGGCGGACATGGAGGCATCAGTAGGCTTCTGCATGTCGTCTGCCCACTAACTGTCATGCCTCTCCACACCTGGGGTGGCTCAGTCCAAGTAGTCTCTTCTTGGTGCAGCCTATCTGGCTATCCTTGGCAGAGTGAGTGTTCCCTTCTCTCCTCCGCCTCAAGCTCCCACCATGGCCCTTCTTTTGACCCAGCCCACCAGGATTGGGCCTCTGTCAGCCAGGTCTCTTCCACAGAGTGGCTGGGCTGGTGGCAGGTCCCAGGGCCCAGTGGCTGGGCTTCTCCCTTTAGGATGGGCCAAGGTTCTTGAAGGGCAGAGGAGTGGCCCAGAGCTGAGGGCATAGCTGGGGTGGGCCTGGGGCCAGGCCATACTAAGGGGGTCCCTGCTGCCCCTCAGGTCAGGGGAGCTTGCTGAATGTACCCCACTCCCGGGCTGGCCACTCACCAGGAAGACCAGGCAGTGCAGGAACAGCGTATAGAAGAAGCCAATGGTGCGGGCCATCTTGTTGGAGAGGACCAGGCGCCCCTGGAGAGCAGTGAAGGGTGAGGTAGGGCAGGAGCTCTCCTGACCCCAAAGGGTTGCCCCCAGAGGGTGCTGGGGCAGCAAGGGGAGGAAGGCGCAGGTGGTCAGGCTGGCAGAGGTGGTGAGCTCGGGCTGCAGGAAAGCTGAGGAGTGGCGCCCCCTGCAGCACAATTCCAGAACCTGCCAGGAACGTGCTGCCAGAGGAGCTCTCTGTGTCCTGGTGATGGTGCCTGCGAGGGGTCCCTAGGGCTCCTCCAGACCTAGCTGGAGGGCAGGTGAGGGGGTGCCCAGAGAGAGGCTCAGGCTTGGTCTGGGTGGGCACAGGGGAGGGGACTCACCATGCTGAGTGTGGCCTTGTCCCAGGGACTCAGGCTCAGGTACTTCCTCTGTCGCTCCTGAAGGGGGAGGGATAGTAAGGAAGGAATCAGAGGGCTCCCGGGCTACAAGACGGGGGTGCCTGCCTTCTTCTTCTCACGGCACCCCAGGGAGCTGTCAGGGCCCTTCCTGAGGTCTGGCGTCACTTCGTGTGACACTCTGGGGTCCCCCAAAGTCCATGTGAGCCTCCTCTTCCCTCTTCAGCCCTTTCTGCCTGTGGGAGTTCTCCATGGGCAGAGCTGTGGCCTGGGGTGGGGTGACATTGGAGGGTGCCCCGTCCCTGCTCACCAGATACTGGGAGCTCTAACTGCTCTCTGGGGTCTGCCTGCCCCAAGTAGTTCTGTGAACCTGCTCACTGTTGCACACCCTCAGGTAGCCACCAGCAGGTGCTCTCGGGAGGGCCCTGGGCCTCCATGGCACCAAAGAAGTGGGGAAGCTGCCCTTGTCCCTGGTCTGGTGGGGCCCAGAGTGTGCGGAGCTGGATGCGGCAGGATTGGCCTTGGGCGAACAGACAGGGCAGGGAGAGTGAGGGATGAAGGGAGGCTGATAATGAGTGCCCAGGCCAGTGAGCAGGGGCCTCAGGCTTCCCTGGGCCTCCTGGGCAGAGCCAGCTGCACACGCCCCTCCCTGGCCCGGCTCACGAACCCGCTTGCTGAAGGAGGAGAAGGGGTCCAGGCGCTCCTCATACTGGGATGAGTACCGCAGCTCGGTGTCATCACTGCCACCACCCTACATGGAGAAGGGGGTGGAGAGAGCCAGTTGGTCACCTGGGGCCCAACAGGAGGGCCTAATGTCCTCATCTGCAAAAGGGAGGCAGGGGAGGGAGCCCCTGGTCCCAGAGCTGGGAGACGGTGCCAGGGTGGTGTCACCTGCATCGGAGCTCTCCCACAGGAGGGATCGTAGTGCCTCTGGGTACATATGGGGAGTCAAGGCCCAGAGAGGGGCTAGGGGTACATGAAAGAGCTGGGCCCAGGTTCAGGGGGCTGGGCCTGGAGCGGGGGTTCGTTGACCGCAGGGTGGGGAGCTGTAAGGGGTGAGGTAGGCACCTGGAAGGATCCACCTCCAACCCCAGCCATCCAGAGGGTACTAGTTTGCAGACTCTGGGCGCCCTCTGGTGGCCTCAGAGCAGCTCCAGTGGGCAGGGATGGGGGCTAGTGGCCCTGGAGGTCCCAACCACAGTGTCAAAGCTCCCTGTCCTTCTACACCCACTCCGTGGCCCTTCAGTCACAGAAAGGGTTACTTTGCACAGAGTAGGCCCCGAGAGGCCTGGAGGCTGAGAGAGGCCGGGGAGGGGCCTCCTGGCCCAGATGAGTGCAGTGGGTGGGCTTCCTTCCCATCCTCTGGACTGTTTTTTTGGGGGATGTTGGACCAAATACTAGTTT